GGCTCGATTCTCTTTTCTTCATTTTCACAATCATACAAAGAAATTTAAAAAAATGAAATTCTTAGAGATGAATCGATATATAACATGGACTTTCACAAAAAATATTTCTATAAGGAAACTTAAGATCTGGAGATCGAGAAACGCGTGAAGATCTGTGACAAATAAAATTTAGATGCAAGGATAATCAGTAATTTAAGGAGAAGTACGAAGAATATCTTATGTGCAGAAGTGAATAAGATTTAGGTTAAACTACAACATCAAAGAGAAATATAATTTTTAAATTGTAACTCTTTGTATTTTATAAAACATTATGTATCGACCAAAATACTTTCACACACTTAAATGATTTAATATTTAAAAAGAAAGCAAAAAAATGAGTAAAAAGTGTGAAATAGTTTTTATAAAATTTCATTAAAATCATAGAATCACTAATGTTTTTTTTTTTGCATTCACATAATTTTTGAAATAATACGATAGAGAATAATCATTATATTTTAAATGTATTGTAATATTTATATTTCTTATCATATGATTGTTAATTTATGTTTTCATACTTTTAATAATACAAGAAAAAAGAGTCAAATTTTAATTAGTGCAAAGGGCCAAGGAGAGAAAGAATCAAATTAATGAATCATAGAAATTAAAATCATATATTTCCGTTAATGTAAATTAATCTGGTGGAGAAGAATCATGATTTTTTTATATTAAAATTACAAGATCGGAAATCTAAGTTTGTTAAATAAATGCGGGGGGGAGAATAATAAAATCACCAATGTTTTTGTCGTATATTTTTTGAATTCAGGGGGTGAAAAGAATTATATATTTGTAATAATTTAGTAAACCTAGATTTTATGTGTGTGTGTGTGTGTGAAATTTAAATGGTATATAACATAAAAAAATTAAGTTGTTTAAATATTTGATATTGTATAATAAAAAAAAATTTTGTTCCACCCGTGCATGGCACGGGTTAAAATACTAGTTGTTGGTAAATATATAAGAAATACTGAGAGATATAACTCATTGTGTGAGTCACCCTTATTAAACGCTCTAATTCAGCCTTGTCGAGTTGTCGTCACCCTTTCTTGATTTCCGACATGGTTTACAATATTTGTCTCGAATTGTTTTCAATTTAATTTATCTAAAGATTGATTTAAAATTTAACAATATAAATTACATATTTTAAAATTAAAAAAATAATTCTTCAAAACAAAAGGTGACATTACTATTTTATTTTAACATTTAAAGATAAAATATGTAAAGAAATACTTCATCCGTCCTAGAGTATTGATCTAGTTTTGATTTTTTGCAATAAACAAGGATCAACTTTCTAACTGTAATTAAATAAAAATTACATTGTATATTTTTAGTTAGATAAAATAATACTTTGAAAACATTTTACACGATATATCTAATAAACTTATTCTTATATCAATATTTAATTACTCAATTAAACTTTTAATAAGTATATTTAAAGAAATGTTATTAAATTCACAACTATTTGTTTTTACTTTCTTATTTAGTTTTCATATATACCATAAAAATATCATATCAAATAGTTAAACAAAAATATTCACTTTTAACATACTACATACTTTACTAAAAAATTAAGATTATATATTAAATTTTAAATATAATTTTAAACGAATATTAACATTTTAAAGTTGTAACGAGCTTGTATAAGCCAAGGCACATGTAATAATAAAAACTACCAAACTACAGAGAAAAATTACTCCCTTCGTCCCAAAAAGATTTACACGTTTCAAAAAAATTGTGTCCCACAATCCCTTACCCATTTCAAAAAAATTGTGTCCCACAATCCCTTACCCATTTCTATTAAAAAATACTTTTACCCCTTACTTTTTCAAACCCTACCTATCACATCATACCTTTTTCCTAATAATCTACACATCACATCCTACTTTTACCCATCACATCAAGGGTATTTTTGGAAAGTCAACACAAAATTATATATCCCTTAATTTCAACTTTAGTCAAAATGGATAATACTTTATGGGACGGAGGGAGTATATACTTCTAGGACAAATAAGGGTATACAGTGTGGATGAAATAAACTACTTTTAAAAAATGTTTAAATTAATAACTTCAAACTACATATAAAAATTTCTTTCACCCTCATTTTAAATCTAACTTTATCAAAATTATAATTTTTTATTCTCCAAAGAAAAGTAAATAATGGATACGTCTTTATATGTTATTTTCTACTCCTTTAACATTGTAATTGATTATTACGTAACGTAATATTATTTTAACATTGTAATTGATTATTATGTAACATTGGTTCATATATAGATTTTACAACTAATTTACATTGGAATTTTATTTTAGTGTTATTATCGTGTTAATTACATATTTACACTATATATTATTTTAAAACTATGTACATAGCATTAAAAAATTAAATAATTTAAAAACTATTTTATAATTTTATAATTAATTTATATTAATTAGTTTAGTTAATTATTATAATTAATTATTTTATAATTAATTAAAAACTATTTAAAAAATGATTGTAGTTTGTTGGCAAATTAGAGTGTGTATACTGTCACTGATAGTATAAAAATATGATACTAATGGAATTTGATGTGACGCTAAGTCGCTAATATGGATAACAGAGATCAGATGATGTAGTTAGAAAGTTATGGAGGTTATGCATACCCTACACCCTAAGGGGAGTTACACGCACATGGGCCATTTTGCGAATTTTTAAAATTAAAGTGAGAAAAAATGGCAAAATATAATTGTACTGTTAATCTTTCAAATTAGTGAGTTATGCATAACTACTCTTTCAGTTTAAAAATTTCACGAATATTTCTTCAAGTTAGTGTTACACAATTTGTTATTTCATTAACTTTGCTATTAATCTTTGTATCTTTTCCATTTTCCATTAAAGATAAATGTGAAGAATTTTCTTTATTTTAGTGTTATTATCGTGTTAATTACATATTTACACTATATATTATTTTAAAACTATGTACATAGCATTAAAAAATTAAATAATTTAAAAACTATTTTATAATTTTATAATTAATTTATATTAATTAGTTTAGTTAATTATTATAATTAATTATTTTATAATTAATTAAAAACTATTTAAAAAATGATTGTAGTTTGTTGGCAAATTAGAGTATGTATACTGTCACTGATAGTATAAAAATATGATATTAATGGAATTTGATGTGACGCTAAGTCGCTAATATGGATAACAGAGATCAGATGATGTAGTTAGAAAGTTATGGAGGTTATGCATACCCTACACCCTAAGGGGAGTTACACGCACATGGGCCATTTTGCGAATTTTTAAAATTAAAGTGAGAAAAAATGGCAAAATATAATTGTACTGTTAATCTTTCAAATTAGTGAGTTATGCATAACTACTCTTTCAGTTTAAAAATTTCACGAATATTTCTTCAAGTTAGTGTTACACAATTTGTTATTTCATTAACTTTGCTATTAATCTTTGTATCTTTTCCATTTTCCATTAAAGATAAATGTGAAGAATTTTCTTTTTTTTTGAATGCTATTGACTCTATTACAAGGTAGTATCTGTTCATACTATTCTCAAGCTAATGACGCACAAAGAGTCAATGCTGTTGCCTTCGCTGGGGCTCGAACCTGGGTGAACTTCCCCATGAATCCTGGGGAGTGGGCTTGCTACCATTCAAGCCAGGGGAGAAGTTCGTGAAGAATCTTCTTTTTTTCATACAAATAAGCCATATTTTATTTTTGTCCAATTTTAATAATAACAATAAGTTACTCATATTTTTATTAGTCTAATTTTTTAACAATAATAAGTTACTTTTATTTTAATTAGTCTAAAATTTTTCAAAAAATTAGACGAATAAAAAGAAAGAGTAATTTATTAATGAAAAATTAGACTAATAGAAATATATAAGAGTAATTTTTTGGTCTCGTAAAACTTTTCATCTTTCGGATCTTGCATATTTCATAAAACAATTTAATTTGGTCTAAATGAACACGATTGCACTTTCTTTTTTAAGATCTAACCAAACCTACCCCAACTACTTTCTACGCACTACTCATTCGAGCATTTTCTAAGCCTAAATCATTTCAATTATCGTCGTTTCACCATAGTCAAAACTTCTACAACTTTCCTTCCAAAAAGTCCAAACATGAATGATTTCACGGGATGGCGGAAGTATTATTTGCATTAATTATATTTGGTTCAAAAAATTTGAAGGAAAAAAGAAAAGAAATACTTTTCTCTCATCAAATTTTGTCTTCTGATTTTAATTACTCCCTCCGTCCCGGAGTATTCGTCCACTTTTGACTTTTGGAACTGTTCATCTAAGCACTTTGACTCATCAAATTCTCTCAATGTGTAAGCCTAAATATAGTCATGTGTGATCTTGTTTGATTCGTCTTAACATATACTTCCTCCGTCCCATGAAACATTTCCTGTTTCAAAAATGGCACGCCTTTAAAATGAGTAATTTTAGTATTATTTTTTAATTATGACTAATCTATTCTACACATCTCATCCTACTCTTTTATAAAGTAAAGGCAAAATTAGAAAATAATACCAAAATTATTCATTTTAAAGGCGTGCCATTTTTGAAACAGGAAATGTTTCATGGGACGGAGGGAGTAGATTATTAATATATAATTTCTATAATTTTTTAATATACAAATTACAAGATAAAATGGATTAAAGAAGTGCATTGGATGGTGTGCAAAAATGAAAGTGGACAAATATAGTGGGACGGAGGGAGTATTTTTCTGGCCTCCATTTTTTTCCTTTCTTTTCTCTTCTTTTCAAATTCCTTGAGCCAAACATAAAAAAAATAAACTTACATGAAATATGACTTAGCTCTATATATGGAAAAAAGAGAGTTCTTTTCTCACATGCATTTATAATGAAAAATGACATATAAATTATCGGCAAAGTTAAGGGAAAGATGAACTATGAATGCTAACTTGTCTCAAAGAACTATTCTTGAGATTTTTAAAGTGCATAAATATAACGTAACGAAGTGAACGCACAGCATTAGGATGTAAAGCTGAGATAAAAAAAATGGACGGGTCCGGCGAGCACCGTGCCGGCGGCCGGCCACTTAACTGACGACGACACGCTCAAGAACCATAACATAAAGGAACGAGAAGTAGTGTTGCGCTAGGAGTACAATAATTACGACGACGAGAGGTGAGAAGGAAAAAGGGGTGCGGCGGAGGCCGGCGGCGGAGCTCTTCTGTTGACGGCAGGCACAGAAGGTCATCGGCGGCGTGGTAGTGGAATTGGACGGAGAAGTTTTACACACCGGCTCGGAGTTGGGGCACTCGCTATTCTCGCACAGGGCCAGAGAACAATTGATGGTGCCTGCCACGCCAGTGCATTGGCCGTAACCCTGCAACGACGAATCTCCCTCTACTGAGCACGTTGGTGGGATTATACTCTCTCCGACCACCTTCACATGCACATTCTCTGAAATTGAAAAAGATCCATCCTCCCAAAAATCATGATAGAATATTGTTAAAACTCCGGTGGGCCGAGAATAACGAATATAGTGTCGGCTAAAATTAACGAATTGCATATAAAGTCGGGATTCAATTTCTAATCCAAAAACTTAGGCTGATAAATAGAGCTTCATCCTTTTATATATGCTGGTGGTATTTGTTAAGAGTACATCCCACATCGGAAAATCCAAGAGTAAAATAATCGGTATATAAGCTCTAGAGTTGAACTAACTAATCGATTGGATTCAATCTTTTAATGTGGTTCAGCCCAAGTGTCTTATAGCCCAATCCAGTTGTCTATACCCATTCTAAATTCTATCATGGTATCAGAGCCAGTTTTAGCCCACCTCGTTTGTCAAGGTGTCCGTCTAGACGTTCATTCCTAGCGGCCCGTTTGTCTTTAGCCCAGTTGTCCGTATGGGGTGTGTACCCAACGGCCTGTGGCCTGTTTAACACGATTGCTCGTCTGGAAGTCCATACCCAGCGGCTCGTGGTCCTTTAGGTGTTGGCGCTTAAAAAAAAAGTCAATGGAATGAGAGTTCATTTGCAAGTGGTCAACCGATTAGATTCAAAATGGCCCGGTTGTCCACTTGAGGGGGAGTGTTAAGAGTACATCCCACATCGGAAAATCCAAGAGTAAAATAATCGGTATATAAGCTCTAGAGTTGAACTAACGAATCGATTGGATTCAATCTTTTAATGTGGTTCAGCCCAAGTGTCTTATAGCCCAATCCAGTTGTCCATACCCATCCTAAATTCTATCAGTATTCTTATTTATTTTTCGATATGGAAACTCCAACAACTATACATATTCTGGACTATTATGAGATGTTTCTCTATGCCCCATGCTTATTCGTTTATTGCAGGCAATTTTTAACTTAGAGTTACTTATAATTAAGTCAAATATATTTTTATAAGAGTAAAATGATTTAAATGATAGATAAGTCATTTTGACAAATATTACTCCCTTCGTCCTATATCTTTTTTCCCGTTACGCAAAACGAAGAAAAATCCCAAGTTTTTTCAATCTATTTTATTTAAATATTGGTATAGAAATAAAAAATAAAATATACATATTTAAAAACTACATCAAAAGCTCAACAAAACAAGTGGTGACAAGAATATTTTATTTTATCATATAGGCCATGAAAAAACACAAATAAATACTCCCTCCGTTCTTAAAAACTCTTCCTCTTTCATTTTTTTACTTCCAACAAAACACTTCCACTTTCTATTAAAAAACCACTTTTACCCTTACTTTTTCATACCCTACCTATCACATCATACTTTTTCTCTAATACTCAATCCATCACATCTTACTTTTACACATCACATCAAGGGCAAAATTGGAAGTCAACTACAATTTAACACTTCCTTATTTTTACACAAAGTCAAAATAGGAACACTTTAAAAAAACGGAGGGAGTATAAATGCCCGTGAAGTTGGAATAGTGCTCTGGGAAGAAAGTTTTAGGACGGAGGGAGTAATAGACGGTGAGTGACAGCGTTATCAATAATTTAGTCAAAACGAAAAAATGAAAAAACCAATTTAAAATAAGTAGCTAAAGCCTAGTTATTTTTCCAGCTAGGCTTATAAGTCAGCTTACAAGCAGACACAAAACATGTTATCAGCTTATTTATAAATTAAAAACAGTTTATAAGTAATTTTGAGCAGCTTATAAGTAGAGAAAAATACTCACTATAAGAAGTAGTGTGACCAAATAGAAATGCAATACCGTACCTTGAAGGAAGACAACCAGAAGAAGAACGAGGAGGTACATATATTTGGAGAAGTAGTAGTGCACCATTTTATATATTTTTGCAGTTCTGTCTATGTGAGCAGCTTCACAATATAATTAATTAATATAATGTGATTGCACTACATAAAACGTAAGACTTAAGAATATGATTGATTCAAAGGCTTTGGAGTATTATATAGGGATCCAAGCACCTACGTACTCCACTCTCCATCGCTATGGAGACAATACATACCCTAATTAACGACAGTCAACTGCCGGTGTCGGAGTCTTTATACCTGTGCACCATTATTTGGTACTTTTTTTTTTGCTTTTTGAAACTTGTCATCACTTTTAAATAACGTGGATAATACTCTATTCATTCTTGATTCTTTATATGGTAATAACGTAATTGACTTAAAATGTTCAAAGAATGATTGTTAGGTACCCTCACTTTTGTGATAAGAACTACTACTTTTGTCTCAAAAAGTGAAGACGTTTCAAAAAAAAAAAACCGTGTCTGCAAAAGTCTTACTCATTTCTATTAAAAATCACTTTTATTCTTTACTTTTACCCTACATATCATACTCCCTCTGTCCCATGAAACATGGAAGTTTTGCTTTTTAGGAGGGATTTAAGGGGAGTATATTTTGGTATTGAATTTCCAAAAATGTCCTTTGATGTGATGGGTAAAAGTATGATTTGATGGATAGATTATTAGTAAAAAGGTATGATGTGATAGTTAGGATATGAAAAAGTAAGGGGTAAAAATGACTTTTTAATAGAAATGAAAAGTGTTTTGTGGGACGGATAAAAAAAGAAAGGAGAAAGATTTTATGGGACGGAGGGAGTATCATACTTTGTTTCTAATAATCTATACATCACATTCTACTTTTACCCATCACATCAAGATTATTTTTAGAAAATCAATACAGAAGTATCTCTCTCTTATTTTACCACTTTAATCAATATGTCCCTGTATCTTTTTGAGACGGAGGGAGTATTATGCACTTTCAATTTTCAAAAACTTACCAATAAGGGTTTTTCTCCTTCCGTCAATCACTCCGTTAATTTTTCTTCTTCACCTTCATCATCGACATCGTCATCGTCATATCATCATCATCCTTCATTTTGTTATTCTTCTTCCTCCTCTTCATTATGCTTCTTCTTTTTCTTCTTCAATTATCCTTCTCCTCCTCCCGATTTACCCACTTATTATATTATTATTATTATTATTATTATTATTATTATTATTATTATTATTATTATTATTATTATTATTATTATTATTATTATAATAGAGTATTATTATTATTCGTTCAAAATGATTATTATTGTTGTTGGTGTTGGTGTTGTTGTTATTATTGTTGTTGTTGTTGTTTTTATTGTTGTTAGTATTATTATTAAAATTAATTAGTAGTTTTACTACGGATTACTATATTCTTTTAAACAAATACTAATTCTCCCGCCAAAAAAAATTGTATACCCCCATTGACCTTTTCCAATCTCCACTTGAATAAAATGAGACAAAAATATTTTAAATCTTTAACTGAAAATTAGTTTTGTTGATATATTAATGTATAATTTATCAATTTAAAATGGTTTATTCTAATATTTATTTAGTTATAAATTATAACCCGTCCCAAATTCATTTACACTATTCGAACAATATGTAAAATCTCATATTTTTTAAATATGATTTTAGGGGAAATTACTTGTATAACACTAAAACAATGCCCCTTCCTTTTTATAGCACTAGTGTTAGGAAGTCAAATGTTTTAATGGCGCAGAGGTATGGAATAGACTAAAATGACCTTCCGTTTTTTTTGGAAGATCTAAACAACGGCGCAGCAGTCATTCGGATCCCTAAAATCACGGCATTTCCTTCGAAGGTCTCTTCTTGTAGAAGGTAATCTGCCTTTAATTTTGGGATGAAATAGGATGCGGATGTCTGCGTTTTAAACCCTAAATTGAGAAAACGCAGACGGGGAGAATTGAGAAACAGAGTCAAAAAAGCAGGAGAGGTTGCGGCGACGAAGACAGTGAGAAGTGATAGTGAGTCGACGATTGTGATGTCGGCGAGGAAGACGGCGATGACGACTGGAGGCGCTTTTGACGACAACGACGAGATTGTTGGCGAAGAGGGCAGTGAAATTACTGTGAAATGCGTTTCTGGGAAGGTTAGATTATTCTGTCTATGACATTTTTTGGACATTATTCATAAAGGTGAAGTTTTTGATAGTATTTAAGAAGGAAAATAATGTATTATAGTGGTGTAGTGTGTTGCATGTTTTTGGGTTTTTTTTTCTGAATTATAGGTAGTAGACAGTGTAGAGGATTTTGGGATTATGAGGGTGTTGTTCTTTGAATGTGCATCTTATTAAAGATTAAACCTAATTGAGTGTTTTTGGCGGAATTAAAATCAATTTCAGGAGAAAGGTAGTGTAGTGTTTCCATAGGGTGAGTATACTGTTTTGTTATTGTTTAGTGTATTATGTAATGGTTAGTATGTAATGGTCAGTAGGTAATTTGGTGTCAGAGTTTAAAAACAGTCCAGTGTTCTTGGTTTTAGAGGACAGTGGTGTTTTTATGTGCATGGTATTAAAAGCAAAGGATTGTAATGGGGTTTTGAAGGGGTTAAAAAACAATAGACTACCAGGTATGTGCATTGATTCTTAGGGCAATTGTAGTGTGAAAATGAGTTTCTTTTGTTCTGGTCCGTATAGTGTTTGTTCTATGTCACTGTAAAATGCTATCTCCATGTTGATTGGAATAACAACAAGGGTTTTAATGACCTGAGTAAACCAGTGCAGTGTGTTGAATATATTGTCAGTGTTTAGTTATTTTAAAGATGCTTTCAGCAGGGCAGTGTTTTGGGGATTTGGGAGGCAGTGTTAGTTGAATGTGCAGTGTATTAAAGAATGTGATAACTGCTCTAATGCATTAACTTTGGTGAATTGTGTTTTGTGTGTTCGTAGAAGATTATGTCTGTTTTTTTAGTGTGTTTTGACATGGGAGATTTTTTCTTTTAGGAATACCTAAGGTTGTGCAGAGAAGACATCTTGGCTTCCAAGACAAATGTCAAAGCTAATTGTTATTGTAATGTGTTGAGTGGGGTCGAGAAGCTACGGCGAACATTGTCAGAATCCGAGTTCGAGGATTTGGTCAAGACGCCCTTCGGTCATTTGGTTGATGTTGGCAATCTTAAATGGGTTAATGGACAGCTCCTAATACTTTTAGCGTTGAACTACGTTGAACCTATGGAGCCAGATAGCAATGCAATATCTTTCCACATCCGTGATAGGGTGGTCAGTTTTAAGAAGACTGATTTTGCTCTAATTACGGGGTTCAAATTTGGATGTCCAACTGAACAAGAAAAGGAATACACTGGCACTTCAGACATCAGTAAGAGATATTTTGGGGGTAGAAGTGTTGTGACTCGTGATGAAGTGCGGTTGGTCTTAGAGGGTCTACGGGACAACAAGAGAAAAAGAGAGATGGATGGCGTGAAGATAGGATTTCTTTACCTTCTGGGCAGCCACATAGTTGGAAACCAACCCTCCATGAAATTGCCACCACTTTATTTGCATTTGGTAGATGACTTGTCCCGTTTGAACGCTTATCCCTGGGGTGATGAGATCTGGGACCTTTTGGTTGAGGACATGGCAAAATGTTCTTTGACTTTGAGAACTAGTAAAAAGGACCGATTCACATTCCCGGGATTTTTAATGGCCTTGCAGATTTGGGCATTTGAGACATTCCCAGGGCTGGTGAAAAGGGAAGTGTGTGAGATGATAGAGAGTCGGAGACACCAATGGCCGCGTGCTTTACGATGGGCAGCACCAACACTGACAAATCACATAGTGTTGGAGGAAGTGATCTTCAGTAATGATAATGTATGTGCTTGTTTTTTCATTGTTTGACTCCTTTTTTTTGGGTTTTAAAGTTATTCTTGAATAGTACTTGGACAGTAATCATTTTTTGTGTTTTTTATACAGTTTGAATGGATTGGCATGAAGGCAACTGCCTTGGAGATTGGGAAAGAGAATGTTAAGTGTCTCTTTTTAAATACCCCAACGATTGAAGGAGATGGAAGCCTTAAGGTAGTGCAAGTGTGTGATCAAGGAGCAAATGCCAGGAGTCTTGGAGGCCCGTCCAGTAATGAGCATTGTGGACAAGAAGAGGGGGGGGGTCCTAGCGGAAGGAAATATTACATTTCATTGGGGAGTTGCTAGTGATAATGGAGGCGAAGCCCGAAGTACTAAGCATGTTGGTAAGAAGCGTAAACCCAACGTAAGGAACCCAAGTCAAGCCAAGAAAGGGAAAAAGAGGAAAAGTGGCAATAAAGGTGATGACAAGGCAAGTTCAGGGGTTAATGAACAGTTGTTAGAAAAGGTCACAAAATTGGAGGAGATGGTTGCGGGTCTGGTGGCAGCAAATGTGTTGGACCGCAAATTGCTTGTGAGCTTGCGCGGGAAAGTGAAGGGAATGCAAAGAGCACATGAGAGACATGCAGTTCTGGTGGCGAAATGCCTGAAGAAGTTTGGTTTATTACGTAGGAGGAATAAAGGAAGTAAAAAGAGCAGACAACATGCTGAAGATGGTCCTAGCTTTGACCTAGGCATTGATCATGGGGGTAATGAGGATTCAATGGCAGATCAAGAAGAAGGTAGTGAGGACAATGTAAATTTAGGTGGATCTGATTATGAGATAGAAAACCCTACCCAACTTAATGACTTGGACGACACGATTAATTCTGTTGATACACAAATTCTTTTGGAACGTCGTGCTGTCATGGTACGCAATATTGTGCGTGAAAATCAGGGGGGTGTTGGAGATTTTAATGCAGAAGAGACTGTAAGGGTAGGTTGCACTGATTACATATGTATTTCATTAACCTATGTGAATGGAAATATATGTATAATGTTGATCTTTGTATGTGAAAAGAATGTCATTAAATTTTTTTGTACACATTTTTTGAATGTCCCAGGTGGAGAATGATGTGGAGAAGCACAGTAGTGAAGACATGGGGCCTGGGGGATCCGATATGCCTATCGCTGACCTTGGTGAAGAGAAGGGGGTTAGTATATGCTCAACTACCTTGTACCTTTGAGTATTGTATGAGTGAGAATATGTTCCTATAATCTGTTCTAAAACATAGCAAACATGTGGTCAGTGTGTAAACATGTGGACAGTGTGAGGGTGTGCCCATGAATCATGTGGACAGTGCGTCTGCTAACATCCTCCATTGTAAGTAATTACCAGGCCCATGTGACTGGTGGACAGTGTGTGTGTGTTAATTGACATGGGACAGTGGGTATGTAATAGCAGATGAAGGGCAGTGTTTGTGTTACTATAAATTTGGAGAGTATTAACAGTCCCCCAAAAGGGTATGGACATTGTGTGAGTTATGCGCTATGGACAGTGTGAGGGTATGCCCCAAGTTAGGGTCATTGAGTCAAACACATAATTGGATACGGCTTAGGCAGGGAGCTAATGTAAAATAGATAGGGACAGTATAGCCGGATAACCTTTTTTGAACATTAAAATATGTTAGACAGTTCTTATGTGTGGACTACATCTTTCATGTGTGTGGATTAGATTTACTAACATGCTCTTACTTTTTGATGGCAAATACAGGTTGATGATAATCGCGGCAGTGTTGAAGGTAATGGCATGGGGTTGAATTTGGAATGTTACGGAGTCACATCCACGCAGCTGAGGGAGGTAATTTTTCAATTAGATTATCAGTGAGCAGTATGGTGTGAAAATTATATTCAATGTACATGTTGCCATCTAAAAAGTACACACTCTTGTTGTAGTTATGTGATGGGGTGGATTTTGATGATTGTCCAATGGGTGAACTAGAAGTTGCAAAAGCAGATATGGCGGTCAATGAAAGCCACATAGAAAACACAAACGAAGAAGAGATCCATTGCACGCAACTTGTGGTGAGCAGTGTAGCGCTTTGAATAATGTTTACATGTGTTGTGAGTATCTTATCAGTTACTAATGTGTTGTAACATATTTGTTAAATGTTGTGGAAGGAACACAACCCCGGGGGGCATGGTGATGCATATGCTCGGCCAAAACGGAAATTGAAATCTCCTGAGAGGTTCACCTTTTCAGATAAAAAGGCTGGTGAACAACGCAAACGAGCAAAAAGAAGGGCTGGTGTTATTGGAAATAGGCCAGTATGTGATGAACTGTGCCTCGGTCCTTTCACCGTTGAGCCAATGGACCCTCCTGAGGTAGGGGTGTTAGAGAGGGTTCACAGCTTCATGAATAAGGGTCTGCTGAAAAAGCCAAAGAACCTGGGACGGAGATACACTGCTACAGATGAAAAGCTCAGTGCAGATGCTATAATGGCGCTTGATAGTGAGGAGGACAGTTTGAGCAAAACATGGTATTACAACCTCTATTTCCCCGATGGATGCCTATCAAACCTGGTATGTCAAATCTAGTAGCGGTTGCTTGTACTGTGTAAAACTTTATCAAATTATTTTATAGTGGTGAATATAGTTTGGAACGTGGGGATTTAAATGGTGAGTGTAGGGTGTAATGCGTTATTGTGTTTTTTAGGGTGAGTATGGTGTTTTTTTAATACTCAGTGTTGTGTGACTTTTAAGGGCCAGTGTAGTGTTCTTTAAGTCTTACTGCAGTAAGAAATGATTTTTTTAAATGGTCAGTATTGTTTTTTAAGGGTATATAAATTGTTGTCTGCGTGATGCATGGTCAGTATGTTTTTTAGAATGATCAGTGTAGTACGGTAATGGTTAGTATGACCAGAGTAGAACAGTGTAGTGTATTACTTATATTTTCAGTGTGCATTGTTTTCATGGTGTTTAAAAAACATGTTTCAGATAATCTGTGGGCAGTGAGTCTGAGGAAGTTGTAGGACAGTGTTATTTGTGGGTTTGCATAATAAGTACTATTGGTGTGTACATGAGTCTATGCGAACACTGATTTTTTTGTTCTTGTTTGCTTATGTTTTCTTTTTCTAACCTTGTATGGTTCCTTGAGTGTATGCTATTTAATGATTTGTACTATAATTTTTTTTACTGATGGCAGCATATGAGTGTGGCATTTTATTTTCTGCGAAAGAAAGCCGTCGATTGTGATCTGGAGCAAAAGTTTGCAACTACAAGCCCAACATTTGTTGAGTTAGTGTGTGTGTTATATGAGCGTGTTTTGAAAAGAGAGATTACAGATACTGATGCAGCGCAGAATACGGACATATTGAACACCATTAAGGGAAATAACATGGAGTATGGGCGTGCATGGTCCGAAGCGGATTTTGTGTACATCCCACTGCACACGGGCTCTGAATGGGTACTGCTTGTAGTAGACATACGTGGAAAACTCATCCGGGTTTACGACACGAATGTTTACAAAGGGGGTTTCTTGAAGAAATTGCACCCCTTTTTGCCGTCTTTGCAGGTCTTTCTGCCAGTTTTAATGGATAAGTTGGGGGTATATAAGGACATTACGGATAGTGAAGAATCTCACGCTGCTTTTCAAGTTGAACCTATACTGAATTGTCCGCAGAAAAGGGACGGGTAAAACTTTTATATCTTGATATGGGTTTTTATTGAGGTGTTACTGTTGTCCGTTAAGTAGCAAAGTCTAGTTGAAAAGTATTTGAATAATATTTGAATTTATAAGTGCATTTTACTCTTTTTATTACAGACCAAGCTCCGGAATTTTTGTGATAAAGATGGCAGAGCTTCTGATGATGGGGAGAGAGGTGATTGAAATTGAGCCAGGACAAGTAAACACATTTCGAAAGAAAATTACTGCGGACCTATTAATGTATGCTACCTGTCAAGGACTCTAAATGCCGGGCATAGCAGTGTTATTTAAGTGAATGGATGGTTGCAACCGTCATGGAGACTTAGATCTTTTGATACCCTCTATAAACAGAATGTTTTTTTTCTTTTCCATGTCCATGTTTTAAATTTGAAAGACTTGTAGTTTTTTCAGGTCGTATTGAAAATGTTAACCCATTGAGTTTAGGATATCGAATGTTCATTTTGTTAGTAGAAGCGTGGTTATTTTAGAAGAAGCATAGTGAATATTAGAATGATGGAACAATTACAAGCTGACTTATACTTGTGCAGTGGATTGGAATGAGGTGTTTTTAAGGGTCGGTGTAGTGTGAAATGATGTTTTTTAATGGTCAGTATAGTGTTCTGTAATGGTCATTAGAACGCGCTATATCCATGATGGTTGGTCTATGTGTTTTGTAAATGGTCAGTATATTATGTTGGAAAACATTTTCACTTTGACATTTTGCTAATGACAATGTTTGTTTCCGTTTAGGTTTTGATATTGACAAACCGTCGGGAACATGGAACAAAATGAAAAGATAGAAAAAGTTATTTGAAGAAACAAAAAGCACAAGAACGGCATTGACGTTGCTAAAGATGGCGACATTGGCGCTTTGAAGACGTATTCTAAAGACTTAGGTTTTATTGTAACAAGCTCATTCAATTTCTCAACGTCATGGCTCAAAACAAAATATGTTTTTCATGCATCAAATGAGTGTTTTCATAAATGGTTTTTAAGTTTCTAATACCTATGGTTCTTGCTTAACAAAAACCATAACCATCGTATATCGGCGTTCGGCTATGGCGTTCGGTTTTCGGCATTGGTTATTGGCATTGATTTTAACCAAATGGTTTTTGGGTTTTTATCCTTGTTTTAAGCTTCTGGACACATTAAAAGGTTTTCCAAATAATTAGTTTTCAAAAACCATAACCTTTGTTTTTTCGGCGTTGGTTATCGGCATTCGGCGCTGGTTATCGGCGTTGGTTTTTGGTGTCCGAACCAACCAAGTGGTTTTAAATATTTTATGATTGGTTTTTACTTCTAGACACATCCAAATGGTTCTCCAACAAAAACATGTTAAAAACCACCTTTCGTTTTTGGTCTTTTGGTGAAAACCATGTAGAACGGCATAAACTTGGCTAGCCGTGGTTTTTACCTTAATGAAGTGGTTTTTAAGTTTTTATACTTGGTTTCTACCTAAAATACATTATATAAGAGTTTCCAGCACTTGGTTTTCATTTTGGAGAACTTTGGTTTTTGACATCGGTTTTCGGCGTTGGCTGCCAAACCATGGTTCTGGCAAACCATCCCGACATGCATGTCGGAAATCCCAACAGCGATGTNAACGGCATAAACTTGGCTAGCCGTGGTTTTTACCTTAATGAAGTGGTTTTTAAGTTTTTATACTTGGTTTCTACCTAAAATACATTATATAAGAGTTTCCAGCACTTGGTTTTCATTTTGGAGAACTTTGGTTTTTGACATCGGTTTTCGGCGTTGGCTGCCAAACCATGGTTCTGGCAAACCATCCCGACATGCATGTCGGAAATCCCAACAGCGATATCGGCCTTCAGAAGCCCTGGGCAGTAAGTTTTTGAACAGCGATGTTCATGGTTGAACAACGATGTTCTCAAATGACCGTTGGGCTATTTAAGACAAAATCTTTCCATTTTTGAAAGTCAAACACACCAACAGCGATGTAGACTTCTAGACATCGATGTTTTGGTGACCGTTAGCCATTTTTAAAGGAATGTCAAAGCCAGAACAGCGATGTTCACTATATGAACAGCGCTGTCGGGCTAGATTTCAGCAGATCCACTTTTATTTGATTTCCACAAATCAAGCTAATCAACCCCAATCTTTTCCCAACCGTTGCACCTTGTTTTTGGGTATAAAAAGGGGTCTCTTGGGTCTACTTTTCATATCCATTCCTCACACATTTCATAGCTTTACATTGCATCATTCCATAAACTTTTTACATAGCTTTTTAGAGCCATTTCTTGAGGAATTGAGTGTGTTCTTGATCTAAATTAGTTACTCATATTCTACTCTTTAATAGAGTTTTTGTTCTTGAGTGGTTAAGTGTTGTGAACACTTTAAGGGAGGTTTGTTCCCTTGGTTGTACGAAGGAAGGGCATATTCCTTTGAGTTGAAGTCTTGGAGTGCGCTATCTCCGAGCAAGTGTATTGAGGCTCGTGGGACTCGAGTTCTCAGGTTGTAACGGTTTGTTAAGCACTCGTAAGCTTAACGGAAGTAGTGTAGCTCGAGAGAGTCTCTCGGGAGACTGGACTAGCCACACGTTGTGGTGAACCAGTATAAATCTTGGTGTGCTCTCTTTACGCTTTTTTTCGCTCTTTACTTTTTACGTTCTTTACTTTATCCCTGCGATTTTTATTCCGCGAAAATTTATAAATATTCTCGTGCCTCACTATTCACCCCCCCCCCCTCTAGTGAAGGGCACCTATTCTAACATATTACGAAATGGGTAGTATGACTAGAGGAGTTCAGTGCAGTGCTAATTATTTCCAAAGTGTCAAAAACATGTTTCGGATAATCTGGGGCTGTAACATATGATAAAGTTGTGGGCAGTGATACATGAGTAAGTTATAGGGCAGTGTTATATGTGGCTTAAAAAATTAGTATTGATTTGTGTTTGCATACTTCTATTAGAAAAATGATTTATTCTTAAAACTCTACATAGCAATTCGCACTAGAAAACATTAAAAGGACCAAATATGTAATGAGGTTTTATTATAAAACAAATTAAGAAGAGGGCAGTACTACTAATAAAAGTTGGTTCCTGTGGTCAAGCAAAATAGAGAATAACACTAAAAATGGCGTCCAAAATCAGCTAATAAAAAACCGTTTAAAAGTGAAATGCATTTCTTCTGTTAAGGAACCTAAAACTCTGTGGTGCATGATTCATTTTGCTCACGAACGACGTACTGGAAGTGGATTAGTACATGTTTTTTTGTTATGTCCGGACATTGTGCAACGTGAACAAGTCTGCCTCCTCCTCTCTCCGTTAGATGGAATCCTTCTCTTTTTTGGCCTTCCTGGTGGACGTTTAGTGCATGAAGGCGGA